ACAAATTATTTTTTCTTTTTCTTTTCGTCTTTTTGTTTAAGTCGTGTCTTTCATATTATTTATGCCTCAACCAGATTGTTGTTACTGCTATTGTAGCTATGGCTTTGATTATGGATTGTTGTTTTTTTAATATTTATATATTCTCGCCCACCTATTTGCTACTACAATGATTCATAATTTAATCATGACCTATCTGATAAAATATCGATAATATGATTAACAGAATACTAATGCGTAAGCGTCGCCTGTTTGTTTAGGATAAAAAATTTTATAAGCAGCTATTTCTTCTTCTGCCTAATAGAAGATGAATGGGAAGATATGAGCGGAAGGAAGAGGAGGGAAAATACAGAGGAAACTGAGAAGGAAGAAAATAAAGTGGTGAGAAGAGTCACTGGAAGTCGGTGGTTAAAAAACGGCTTAAAGCAGTATTATCTGTAAATATGGCAAACTGTTCCCTCGCAAATTTGATCAGATTTTACCTTATTTTATTTCCTTTTTATTTAATTTTTTGTTTAAATCTCTGTCTACGGTATGCTTTTTTTACATCGAGAAAGTCGGCTATCAGAAAGTTTTTTTTATTATTTTAGGGCGGAATAGAGCAAGAAGAGGCGGGATGGGATTCTGACATTTGAGCTAATAATTTAGTCGGTGCTCAGTGCTGATTCCGCTTAGATATAAGAGACAAACGTTCAAAGACTGAAACACGAGGTTTATTATTTGGAACTTCCCTCCTCCAACTAAAGTTCTCTGAGGAACATTAGTACAGTGTGCTGGTGAAAAATGTTATTTCTACCAACAACAAAATCGGTGATTTATCTGTGTTGCTGTCACGCAATCCATATCTTCTTTATCGAAACAAGTTTTAGCAGGAAGCTATCTTTCTCCCCCCTGACTACAGTTTATCTGCGTAAGATACAGTTTACCAACAGTTAGCTATAATCCAGTCTGAGCATTTAGACGAAAAAAAAAAAAGAAAAGAAAGAAGAAAAAGAAAAGAACTGTAGAATATAACGATGGCAACAACAACAACGGGAAAATAATCACTGATTTTTTGATGTTAGTTATTTGTAGATGTGACATTTTTACCATTTTTGCTAACAATTTAGATTGGTCAATGCCTCAGTTTGTGATCATTTTCTTCTGTTTTCTTTTTTCTTCTTTATCTTCTACATACTTCCGTATTTCTTCTCGTTTTTGTCCTTTGCTTTTCTATTTCTCGACGGTTTTGATTTCAAGAAAATAAGAAAAAAAAAAGCAAAAAAGAATTTTTCTCTGTATTAATTTTGCGTCAGACTGACAAATTTGATTACTGCAAACAGGG